AACTTTATGTTTTGTTGATGGAATTATACTTTATATTTTGTTGATGAAATTATACTTTATGCTGAACTTTATATAGCATCTCTCTATTCTAAACATAAAGTTTGAATGACATCTTGTTTATATAGTATGAAATTATACTTTATGCTGAATTATACTACGATATAATGCTAATATAGCATAGGGTGTGGACATCTCTTCTTTACTCATATCGACTTTATGTATATTCTAACCATTTTTAGCTTTCAACAATATATTCAGTCCTCATCTCTTCTTTACTCTCTCCTACTCAGATGTTGTTCTTAAAGGATGGTTACCTTGGACATCTCTCTATTTGCATGCTAGATATGATTCATATCTATATTAAAATGACATGTACATGACTGATGTGGATCATCAAATGCTATGTAGTATAAATCATGTGGAGAAGAAGTTTTTTCTTGTCTAAAATACTTTATAAGATTGTTTCAACTATTTCTCTCTCTCTCGCCCTCCCTCTCCTCTTTTTCTTATCTAAAATGTTATATAAGAAGTATTGAATAGTTTTTTTATTGTAGTATAATATTATGTTGCAAAGGCTAATAGCCAAATAGTCAATCTCAAAATAGTTGTATCTGTTAGCATCTCCATGGAGCCTATATATATATACCAATGCAGTTTGCCCTAAATAATAAAGACTCAGGTAAATGCTTGGGGGTTGTTTGGGGAAAATTTGCATATCATATAAGAGTGTTTAGGGCATGCATCTTTGTGAAGTTTGGTCTTTATATCTAAATGTGTAAACCCACGCTTTCTCAGAACGAAATTGTGTTATTGTAAATAGAAATGCTTAGGGGTTGGTTTTATAAATAATAAAGACTTAGGTGATAAACCAATAATTGCCCCTTTCCTTTTTGCACTTTTGAAAAATTAGCCTAGTGATCTGATGAATTGGCTAAGTTTGTATTTGTATATATTTTCTAGCTAGGCCAATTGAAGAAAATGTTGATGATCAATTTGTAGTTATATCATAAATTGTTATGACAATTTTTATGTATTATACATGTTATATTTCACTTGTTTTCTAGATGGAGGGAGAGTTTTCAAAGCTATTATATGTTGTTTACCTTAGAGTGAGAGTTTTTAATAAAATGTTTTTCAACAAAAACAACCCTTGCAACTCGAAGGTAATAGGATTGATTTAGGTGTTACTTATTATGTTATTAAACCATTCTAAACATTTGGAGACTGGATGTTAAGATCAATGTGGTTAGCTGAGGTAAAAATGCTTCATATTTGTTAGCTTAATCTTCATATTTGCATCTTCAGTGCTTCTTGGGAAAGCTATGAAAGGTGCATGATATGCTAGCATAAGATCTGATTTTTATTATAATTTAATGGGTGTAATTTAATGCAATTTTGATACAGAATCTCAATTATCAGATTTAGTTCTTGGGAAAGCTATAAAAGGTGCATGGTATGCTAGCATAAGATCTGATATTTATTATTCATTATTTCAAGCCATAGTGTGCTCTTTTCTGTTGACGGAGAAACATTGTGTTGTGTTTGTGGAAGCTCAAACCAAGAAGAAATCAATTGTTTGTTATTGTGCATGATTAGAGTGCGTGGTTTTGTGAAGTCTAGTTATTCTAAATAAAGTTATTCTTTCTTTCGTTGGGAGTCCACCATTTGTTCAATTGGATACTTGAAGATTTCTATTGATTGCTGAAATTCTTTATATTTTCGTTGGGAGTCCACCATTTGTGCTCTTTTCTATTGATTGCTGAAATTCTTTATATTTTCGTTGGGAGTCCACCATTTGTGCTCTTTTCTTTTGATTGCTGAAATTCTTTATGATTGCTGAAATTCTCTATAAGAAATTAATGAATTGCATTGATGAAATTCTTTATATTTCTGTTTTCATCACGAGTAATGGATAATAGTTGAAATTATGAGTTCTTTTTGTGGGAGATCAAGGCTTCTGTATGGATTTATGCACATGACTGAGATAGCATGAGTTGTGCCCTTCTTATTTTTTGTGATTGCATGGTTGTTTCACCCGCAAACCCTTGGTAAGATGCTTTTTAATTGGTTAGTGTTCGTCTCGTGGAAGGTTCTTATAAAGCTATCACATTACGGAATGAATCCTAAAAGCTTTTGGATGCTATAGTATAGGCAATCTTATTTTCGAACTTCTTACTATTTGCTCCAGCATGTGTAAATAACTTTTTAATGTAATTATGTGTGTTTCTTTTGGAAGTTAAAATTGAAGATAGCATGAGTTGTGCCCTGCTTATTTTTTGTGATTGCGTGGTTGTTTCACCCGCAAACCCTTGGTAAGATGCTTTTTAATTGGTTAGTGTTCGTCTCGTGGAAGGTTCTTATAAAGCTATCACATTACGGAATGAATCCTAAAAGCTTTTGGATGCTATAGTATAGGCAATCTTATTTTCGAACTTCTTACTATTTGCTCCAGCATGTGTAAATAACTTTTTAATGTAATTATGTGTGTTTCTTTTGGAAGTTAAAATTGTACAACCTTTCTGTTAGAATTCTTTGATGGCACAGAAATGGTAATCAGATGCACATAATGAATTTCTTGTACTGAAATGATCTGACAAGCCAATCTTTTTTGTCTACACAAAGTAAGAGCTTTAGTCATGCCAGTCTTCTCAATTTAATGGTTAGATGGATGTAAATTATAGGATTTTAAAGGATTGAAAGATATGCAGGTGCACCAAGCCTGTTATGGTATTTCAAAATTTCCTTAGGATCTTTGACATTGCAGACCTTGCAAGACAAACTCTCAGAACCTTGTGAGCAATAAATAGCCAATTTACATTTATGAAAATGTATAGAGTATGATGCACCGTGATTATAACTAAGATGGCTTTTTATTTATAGAAAATACATTTATGATTTCTCATTAATCATTCTTGCTTTGTAACAGTAACCTTGGTTTGACATCTAATGTTATATCAACAGCTTGCTTTAGGGAGGTTCAACAAACCCGCAGAAAGTCAGTATGTACCTAAACCACTTTCTTTTTTCTCTTCATAATTTATTTAATTAATGAGATGAAAAGATTGCCATAAATGATATGATGCAGCTGATTTACCAATCACAAGGAGCTCAAATTCAAGATCTGAAACAGAAGAACTCTGAAGGCTCGAAAATATGCCTGCAGCACCAGTTCATGGAGTCGGACTAACAGTTTCATGAAGATATAATGCGCAGAAATTAGTTTTAGTTATTTGAGTTGTATGTAAAGCATAAGAAGAATTAAATGTTCAATACAATTATTTTTAGATTTAGATTTTTATTTTAAGATTTTATTTGTATTTTTTTTACTCTTGTTTAGTTTGATTTTTTTTACTCTTGTTTAGTTTGTACATTTTAAAATTTGTAATAAATTGATTCTTATTTTTTAAGCTTTTGTCAAATAATGCTAATATTCTTGTAAAAAACAGTTGTAATCAATTTTGTAAAGTTTTTTGAATTCATTATTTTCTTAAGTTAATAAATTTCTGAATTTTTGTATGAAATTTGTCCTTGAAATATTTTTAGACAAAATTATTATTTTTTTTAAAAAATAATATTTATTAAATAATTTTATATTCTAACGAGCCATTTTCGAGCCGAACACGAGACGAACACGAACATGAAAATGTAATTCGAGCCGAACACGAACACATTGTTCACGAGCCATTTCGAACACGAGCCAATTTCGAACACGAGCCAGATTCGAGCGAGCCGAACACGAGCCGGGTCTGGGCTCGCTCAAGCTCGGCTCATTTACAGCCCTACATATGAATGCTGATTTAGGCTTAAAATGCATTGTTTGCCATTCATCCAAAATATGATTAATCCAAAATGAATAACATTTTGGCAGAATACAAATCGAAACATTTTTTTCATTTTACACTGGATGTTATAAGTTTTTTTCATTTGCCATTGATTTTATGTTTTGATCATTTTGATTATAAGTTCTTGTAATTTTTTTTTAATTTTTTTCTAGCTTCAAGGTTGGACCAAAACTATAGTATATATATATAAATTTTCAAAAACCATGAAATTTTGAGCCAAAACTCAAGGCATTGATCAAAGTTCTAATAAAATTCTATGATTATCATAAATTGAAGCACGTCAATTTTATTGTAAGTTATAAGCTTGAAGTTCATTCAGATAATCTTCTTGTTGAAATCATAAATAAAATTTTTATAATATGTAATTATAAATTGTTATTGAAACCACAATTGAAGTGGAGCATAGAATTAATGAAACTATAAACCAAACATTTTATTATAGGATCCTTGAACTTCTAATAATTACAAATAAATAAAAGGCAATGATATGCCTTCATAAATAAATTTATATCAATTCATTTAGAATAGTATTTTTTTTTTATTTGAATTTAATATTTTGAACAGTTTTGTAAATACCCAAAAAACAGTCTCAGGTTTCTTCTAAAATATTCCATCACTTTCTAAGCACTTTAGAGTTAAAAAACATCTTTTTTTAAATTTCTCATATTTTATCAAAAGTTCAAATTATTAATAGTAAATTATATATATGTCTATATATATATATATATATATGTATGTATATTTATTTTTATTTTGACAATAGGAAAACAATTTTTTAAAAAATAAGTTCATCAGAAAAAAATATTTTCATAAACTAAAGATATGACTTCCCAATTTATCATGGTATGTTACATGCTAAGATAAACAATATAACATTAAATTACTTTATTTATACTTCTTATAATTTGGATTTATTTAGTAAGACGAGTGGAGAGAAGTTCAAAAACTATTTTTCTGACATCATTTTTGCAGATTCTTTCTGAAAAATCATTCACATTGAATATAATTGTATGATCTACTGTAAGGATGAGAAGCAGCCATTAAATTACAAACATAATAAAACATATCTAGCGCAATAAAAATGTTTTACATTGTAAAGAAAAAAACTGAACACAAGAAAAAAACTCCTAACTATATATTGCAAGGAACATGGTAAAATCTTAATTTTGGGTTAAAAGTATTCAACAAGTACTTTTTCCCTGACAAGTATTCAGCTTCTTACCACAATTCAGAATGACAACTCTCAAAATGATGGGCATCCTTCAACATTAACTCCTGGAGCAGTTGGGCATTTAGCTAAAGGGCAGTGATCTGTCTCTAATCCCCACCAATTTGCGCCATAAATGTTATAGTCTTGCAAAGCGAAATAAATTAAAATACCCATAAAAGCAACTCCAGCATCAAGTCCGGCTGAAAGAATATAATTATTCTTTCCCCACCAGCTTTTGTATTTTCTGAACACATATATGTTGAACACAACACCAACAAGACCCCACATCAAGTAGTTTACAGCCCTAGCAGGAGGCATCATTCCTGTTGAACCAAGGATTATAGGCATGTTGATAAGCTTGATCCATTTCTTCTCTGGATAAATGCGCGAGAGAACCCAAACTGGAATGGGAGCAAGGAATCCGATGAGGAAAAAGTAGTTCAGCTTTGAGTAGATGCCAAGACGACCAAACATTCTTAGAGGAGCAACCACACCCCATATAATGGATGCATTATAAAAAACATCGTCACCAGGGCATGTCCATGGGCTTCCTTCAGGGAGTTTAGTGGGGTTACATATATTCTCCACAGAGTCGAGGAGCCACCATGCAGTGCCGAAGTATACAGAGGATGCCACAACAGTCCCAACAAGCTACAATTCATGTTTGAAAACAATGGTCAGTTTAATTATGAAGTAGAGGCGCACGCACACACACAGAATATAGACATAAACACAAGGTTATCACTATAATTTGCGTTATGTGAAATCTTATATTATGCGTTAAGTTTTACCATAACTTCAGTATCCTGGGTAACATACTTGTAAGGAAACACATTCAATCCAAATGAAGATAATATCACAAACACAGTAGAAATTTTGAATTAAATCAAATCATGAAGGGACGAAAAATTCAGAAGTCATTTGAGGACTAAGAATCTCAACCTGGACGATGAACATGGATTTTGGCGGTATCTTCATGTAGTGCCCCAACTTAAAATCTTGGATGAATGTGATTGCCTGAGCCATACTGATGTAACCATATGTCTTGAAAGAAACATTTGCGAGTGGTTTCCCTGGGTATAAATAGCCTATAACCAGCTCAGTAATCACATTTAGTCCCACTTGCTGCATTATAAGCTCAAACATTAGTCCCTTGTGATGCTTAGTTTGCAAATCAAAGAAGAATTAAAGAATATAAGAGTGAAACTGACTTGATTGGTTGTAGCCTGGATGATACCAACAGGGAGAGTGTAGAGAAGAGCTACACCACCTGCTAGTAGAACTCCCCAATAAGGAAGTTGGAGCTGCTTCCCAAAGCCCTCACAGGCTAAAATAGCCAGACCAAACATGAGGACGAGGAGAACATGGAACCACCATTGTGGGATTCTTTCATAGTTTTTCTTCATAATCCTTGTGTGCACATCGGCAAATTCGTCACGGAATGCTGATTTTGTCAGATTCATTATGTTCCTACAGACAATCAAAATTCAAGGCCAGTTCAATGATAAAAATAGTTAATGGAAAATTTTTTAGTGTTTCCTCCACTACAATTATCCCAACCAAAACAAAAAACATAATGCTAATTTCCTATTGACATAGAACACTTAATTTATAGTAATTATCTTGAGTTGCTTCACATGCAAGTCTGAAGGTTTCAAAACAAAATTTCCCAAACAAATCTTTGTTAAATCCAATCAAAGTATATAAGAAAAAGTTGCATTCCTGAATTCAATATCAACTTATCAATTATTTAAGGCAAGGCAAGGTTGGGATCAATTCTGTCTTTCTTTTTTCTATAAATATTTTTGCTTAATATACTTTTTGTATACTTTTTTTTTTAATTTTTTAAACAATTTGAGGCTTGTTTGAGCTCACTTTTATTATTATTATTATTATTATTTTGGTTTCAGGATTTAAAAACTTGTTTATTTAGTGAGTGCACTTTGTTACATTTTAAAATTTTTTGTAGTAAAATCAAATTAATTTATTTTTAAAAATATTCAAAACATCTAAAAGTTGTTTTAAATTTTCTCAAAAATAACTAAACATGCTATAATATAACAAACACGCTATATTTCAAGTCAAAAACCAAACATAATAAATATAAAATAAAAATCAAGTGATCTTGAAGGACTCCTTAGTTTTTAAAAGCACTTAAAATAATATATTTTATCTGAGATTAATCCACAAGCAAGTAACAAAAGCTTAAAATATTATGTAACTAAATCCCAAATGACCCCTTAATTTTGTAGTTGAAAAGATTTTAATACATTGAATTTATAGGTTGTCAAATAAAAATTAGTTTGCATGAATAAATAGAGGACCAAAAAAACAAGAAAAACATTAAAAACTTTCCAATAAATATATCGTAAAAAAGTTGACTATAGCACTTACTTTTCTTACTTTATACACATGGATACTTAGAAAAAAAAACAAAGTAAGGAATCTACCTCCCATGGAATAGTGCAACATGAGATAGCGTGGCAGCAACCGTAGCAAAACTCAACCCATATGTATAGGCAAATAAGATGCTAAGATTAATTGGTCCAACCTTGTCATATCCTTCCTGACTAAAAGAGAATGTCTTTGGATCCAACACCTGATCCACATCATAAGCACTTCCATTTCCCATAAAGACATGTGATGAGAACAATGGAAATCTCTTTGCATTATATGAATTCGACCAATATCCGATTGGGACAAGAACATACAAAAACAGAAAGAAACCAGTCATCACATTAATGATTGCGAACCCCGGAGTGGCCAATGGACTTCCGAGAAACCCAGCTATGGTTGACCAATCAAAACCGAAGGAACCAATTCCAAGTCCAGAAACAGCTGAACCAATCTGTTGCATGGTGATGGAGCTCTTCCATATCCAACATAAGATGGATAAGGAACTTATAGAAGGAAAAAAGTATCCTGGGATGAGATAGTAAGCAAAGCTTGATATGAAGACTACAAGGAAGAATTGAAGTCTTGTCATCCCTCCCCTTTTTCTCTTCTCTCGTTCATTTAGTGCCCTACATCAAAAAATAAAATTGATTATGATGTGATTTATCATATTATTTTGATGCAAAGTGAACTTTCAGACATATTTTCTCAAAAAAGAAAATAGACAGTATATGCATAAGTAGATAGAGAAAGAGGGAGACCTGAACAGAGAAACTTGTACCAGATTACTGGGCCACCACATGTAAGGAGAGTCAACAAGAAATTTCCTGAACAAGCCAGCCCAACCATATCCCATCATCTTGAAGTCCATAACAAACATAACTGATTATTAGAGAGTCAAGAAGAAAAACATAAAAAAGAAAATATGAAATTATTACACAAGATATATGTCATTTTGTTTGTTCATAGATTTAATATGCACTTCTATACATGATGCTCAAAATTATAGCTTTATGCAAAATTTTCAGAATCATCCAAGAGTAGGAATAAATAGCCAAACCTAAAACAAAACATTAATCCATGAAATAATGTGAATATAATATCGAACAACATCAACAACACAAACTTTAAAAAAATTACCTGTGTAGTCTGTACCAATAAATAAGCTGCAAGAGGATGCAGACTCTTGTGATAGAAGGCCTTAACAATTGTAACTATATTGACTGCATAAACCGAGTTTGCGCCGCAGTTGGCAAATATTGTGATCAAAACATGTTCTTTGAGGTTGAATGGTCCAGGATTCAAAGAGAAGCGCAGGTTTGTGGCCGGAATAGTTATGACTTTTGAGGGAAGTATTGAGGCTAGTAACTTGCCAAGTGGAAGAACAACAATCTGAGCTGAGATAGCAGATATACTGAGTTGATTGTTTCGATATCCAAAAAACTGGTTCATGAATGCGAGAAGAGCACAAGCTATCATCCCTAGAAGCCATGTTCGGAATGTCATTACAGGTGTTGTTGGATCATCAGTAATAGGTACAGTGAGTCTGACCTCCTCTATTGGGCTATCATTAATCTCTTCTGCATCAAAAGCAAAGGGTTTTTGAATGAGTAATAGAAATTCAAATAACGAAGTTTTGTATAACTAGAGAACATATGCAAACGTAAGAAATTAAGGTTTTTTTGTTACCGATGTTAGTGTAAACAAAGTAGAATCTCTGATCAAAACTCTTTAAAAATTATTTGCAATAATGCATTTTTTCTGTCAAAAAGAAAAAAAAAACTTTCTCGACAATTTAAAATTTCTCGCGGGTCACAAAGCTTTTCGATGGATTTTATAACTTAATCATTGAGTGTTTGCTTTTGGAAAACGAGCAATAATAAAAAAATATAACAAGTGTAGGTAAATTTAAAATGATTCCTAAGAACCAAAATAAAAATGTATGTAACCATTGGTTTTTAATTTTCACAGAAATGACTGGTTTAATTGGTTTAAAAAAAATGAAATTTACCACAGTTGAAAAAATCATACCGAATCAGGTAGTTCAATCGGTTTGACATTGAAATCAACCTAAACCGGTGGTCTAACATTAAAACCGGTGAATTGATGTTCGATTGAACCAATTTTATATTTATTTTTTATTTTTTTGTCAAATCCATTTGTATTATAAAATTCTAAGTACCAATGATTTAAAATTTCATAATTGAAAAAGTTTCTTAGCTAAGTCTTCATTATATAAAGATATGGGAAATTTCTAAATACAAAAATACCCTATGTGGGACTAAAGAGGGCTAGGAGAACTTTTCTCATGCCTGGAATTTTTACACGCATAACACTTAAATCATAATCATCTACATATCTAACACCAAAACTTGTATTTTTTATAAATATATCACTCAAATAATTTTTAAGAAAAAAAATTATTATTTTTTAATATAAATAAAAAATAATATAAAAAGATATAAATAATTATAATTATTTAATTATTTAATTATTTCAAGCCAAACACCGCAAACACGAAGCGACAAATATTTATTAATGTTTGACTACTTTATAAATCGAGCTAACAAATTTTTATATTATTAAATTAGTATATTATTATTGCATTATTTAGGTGATATTTAATTAATTTTTATATTTTAAATTTGTATATTATTAACATTTTAAAAATTTATTTTAATTTTTAATGCATAAACATATGCCATCAAATTATTATAAATATAAATATGAAAATGTGGACACTAGATATATAAATACATAAAAATTATGTGAGATGTATGTAAATTTTTCCCATAAGAAACTGAGGTAGTTCACATGACAATTTTGGATTTGAACTTTGTCTATGCTAAAATAGTGTTAAAAATTAAAAAAACTAAAATGAAAGTTTTAAACACAAAATCAAAATTGGAAAAAAAAAATAATAAATTGAAATTAAAATATCTGATGTAATTTTGATCATGCAGGCCTTAACAATTGCAAATATATATATGAAATCGAAGAAGAAGATCTCATCATCTCCTAATCCAATTTTCCCAATTGAAATTTGGAGGTGGCAGGCTGCTACCAGGAATCAAGTTAAATAGCATTTAATAAATCACATAAATTTCAATTTATCAGACTCACATAATTTTAAATCCGGAATAGTGGTTGATTTAGTTAATGTTAAGTTGAGTTAAATCTTTTAAGCGGTGTTTGGTTGCAACACTGAATTTACATTAAATAGGATTTATCAAACTCGATAAATCCGGCGAGCCGTGACAAGAATGATGGTCACAAGCAATAACCACATAAATCCATAAAATTTGTCCCTGCGGGATTTATTAAATCCGGACACGTCTCAAAAAAGAAGGAACGAGAGTAGAAAAGACGGACTAAGCATCCTACCAAACACCTTTTAATTTGCTTGGCCTAAATCCTTGTGATGTATTTTCTTAAATTCATTAGTAATTAAATTAAATAAACTCGAATTTACACCAAAAAGAAAAAAAGTGAAATTATTAGGTATGTACCCATAAAAGAAGCAAAGAAATCCTTCAAATTAAAAAAGAAAAAAAAAGCAGCAGAAAACTATAAACAGGCGCATGGAAGAGATCGTCTTTACCTTCCCCATTATTCTCTCTAGTTCCATCTTCAATATTCATGATCGCCGTTCGTCGCAGATATTTCACAGAGAGTTACAGCTTTCAAGTTTGGGGATGGAGAGAACTTCGTCCCCTTCCTCACCTCCAAAACAATAATAACCAATTGATTGGCTGCAACTTTACTTATTAGTTGAATCTAAACATTGAAATAGTCCATATTTGCTGAATAGGAAAGAATAATTTGAAATCGCCCACAATGCAAATTACTATATGTGATTGAATCGACAAATAGAAAGGTTTGTACGTGCTTCTCGCAATAACTATGATTTTATGCGCTTTAATTATCAATTAATTTCGTTTAAATATTAGATTTGGCAGAATTGCGTTTTTGTCTCAGACTGTCTGTTTGAGCTTCTACGAACCAGAGACTTTTCCGGGAAGTTTGCCGTTACATGAACCTAATTGGAGGAGCATTCGGGGTTGCCCTTTTTTTAAAAAATTCATTTCGATCAGATTTTTTAGTTTTTTCACATGATTTTCTTTTCGTCTATTATCACTTTTATTTGTATGTATTTGATATTTCTATTGAACAAAAACTTATTTTCGTCAACCATTGACAATTGTCTAGCATTTAACAGTTTGTTGTCATCTCTGGGAAACCATTCCATCTTAAATACTAGAGCCACTACTTGACTAATATCATCAGATTACCACTGAATCACTATCTTTTGAAAAAAAAATGCCACCATTGCCACAATCTACTACCGCTATTGATGCATAACTGCTTCCATTATCGGATGCTCGTCAGACCACTATCAGTATTTTACCACTAACATGGCCTTCTAGGTAATGTTATAGGATTGTTGTCATCGCTGGATTGCCAATGTCTGCATGATTGATGTTGTTGCTCGTCCTGTCGCCCATAGTTGGAAGGTGACCATTCAGCCTTCACACTCAAATCACTATTGTCCATCCTTCGTTGTTAGATTCCAACCATTTAACAATCACAATCGAGCCATAATCTCTTGACCATTATCATCAAATCATCACTGTCTATCTGTCACATGAGTCATTTGAGCTCTATCATCCATATTATGGTTATCCAACTACAATCGCTCAACTTTCTTCACCTAGCTATATTCATTCAATTACAGTTGTTGATCTACAATATCTCAGGCACTGCCAGCCCAATTATAATTGCTCGACCTTCATTGCTCAACTATAATCATCTGGTTACAGTCTCTCATTTTAGCCTCACAAAAACTCTATTGCTTGATTAGGTCTGATAAATAAATATTTGCTCATAACCATAAATTAATTTTAAAATCACCACCAATCATTTCTCATATTTACTTCAATTTGTGAATATCAAATTTTATCTCCAGCCACTTAAAATTCATTAAAAACTATTTTGCATAATTAAGATTATATTTTGCATTAATCCTTGAATTATACAATTAGACTTATATTTGAATACATTTAGCTGCATTATTGATACATTATCCATGGTAAAAGAATTAGCTCATTAATTAAGCATAAAATTATCAAAATATGCAATTTGTTCTTTTGGATTATTCTTGTTAAAATACATCTTTTTAAATTTTAAAATTAAAATCATTAGAATATAAGAACAAAATTAATTTGATTTAATTAACTAATGTTTTCCGTATATTTTAATTGATTTAATTAATGTAATGAATAAATTAAAACCAATTTTGTAAATATGTGGCCAATCACCCCTATGTAATTAATTTAATTAAATTGATATAATATATTTAATTAAACATGCTTTTGGAAGTTCATGGCCGCCCCCCTCCTTAAATTAATTAGAATAAACTAATTAACTTAATCAATTCAGCTAAATCCATATGGAGAAAGTCTTGGTAGGCCTCAGTTTTTCCTCCTTAATTAATTTAATTACTTTAATAAATTCATTAACTTACACCCATTATGAAAGGTGTTGGGCCGTCGCTCCTTTTTTTAGATAGTTTCGTCACATTATTTAAAGTAATCTAATTAAGTTAATTAATTAATCTAATTAATTTTTAATTCAGATTTACTTCATATATTTTACCTAAATAATACAAATACTTTATTAGAAGTAAATCGCTCTGAACTTTTCAATTAGAATTAAATCAAATACTCATTTTTTTAATTATTTGGCATGGCCGGCTACCATACTAAGATTTTAAGTTTAATTATTTTTTAAATTTAGTCCACGAACTTAAGTACTTTCCTAAAGAAAATTCTCTCCAAATATATTATTTTATTAATCCAAAATTACAAAGCTTTAACTAGGGGTGTAAACGGGCCGTTTATATTTCGAGCTCAAAAAGTATGTTTGTGTTCGGCTTGTTTGCTTAACGAGCTGAACACGAGCCGTTCACGAACAAAGAGCCGTTTTGACAAACCTAATCACGTAGCAATAAGATGTTAATGATTGAGACAAGATTTAAAAAATCATTTGAATCTGAATTAATAATTTTTATTCTATTTTCTTCATTAATACTTTTATTTAATTATTAATCTTTGTAGCCTTGTAGTCAATTAAATTTTTAAAAAACACTTATCAATGATGTATATAAAATTGATTAGTAATATTTCGAGCCAAAACGAGCCGAACACGAACGAACAAATATTTGTTCGTGGTATTCGTGTTCGGCTCGTTAACTTAGCGAACGAGCTGAACACGAGCTTCTTAACGAGACGAACACAAGCTGTTCGCGAACAACGAGCCATTTTGACAGCCCTAGCTTTAACCACCTTCTTGTCTGGATGCAAATTCATTTGCTCTCTCACTTGATTTGGAAAAAAACTATTTTGAAAGTTTGTCCTTCAACATCTTCCTTCACAGGTGCTTCATGGTGATGTTGCTCAGTAAAACTCTAGTAGAATATTTAAAATGTATATGAATAATGTAGAAGGCATGAGGGGGTTTTTTCAGAATAAATTTGGTAGTTTAATTGAGTGAGGAATATCAACTAGGCCAAATCTAAGAATAGTTGATCATTTTTTATAATTTTTTTTAGATTTTTAAATACAAAAAATAAATTTATAATTTTATTTGGAAATGACAGCAAATCCTGCCAATGTTGACATTTGGAAATTTTTATGATTGTTGAATTTCTTTAAACTTTTCTATAATTAAAAAGTTGACAGTTAGAAAGTAAACTGTTGTTTGTTTTTTCTATTTTTTATAATGAGCTAGAAAAACACAAATAAAGGGATAAAAGTTTTATAAAAACTAATGGGAAAGGCATGTAAATCATTTCTGAAATTTTGAGATTTTTCTAAAGGGAATAGGCCACCTAAATCGAGTCAAACCATAACAATGTAAGTGTACATAAAAAAAATGGACCACATGAATCTCAAGGATATTCAATGGATCTCGGTATCAAGATATATAAGGACCGCATCGAAGTGGTTGAAACATGGAAGCATTAAGCATTGTTTCATTTGGTCAAAATCATGGGCCAATAGGAGGAAAGTGCAGTCGAATGAAGGAACATTATGCACCAGATCTGAGGAACAAACATGTGTAATCAACTCCCTCAACAGCTTTTGGGTTTCCTCACAAAGATTTTTAGTCATCCCATAAAACATCTTTACAATCCCTTAAAAAAACCTTTTGTTTAAGGAAGAGCTGCCCATCAGATTACAGTGACACACACCTCTGAATGATGATTAAAGTTTACCTTAACGATAAGAAGGTCTCTATAGGGGGTTCTCTCGAGAAGGCCAACCAAAGTCCTTCCAGCAGACTGAACGATTATCAGATGATTGAATGCTAATATCAATTGATCATTAATGCCCCACTTTAAACAATTATGAATATGAAATCACGCCAATGACAGTTATGAATATAAAAGTAGCCCGGAGTCAGTCACATACATGTGAAGGTGTAATGGCGCATTAATTACTTGTAACGTTCCTATTGAAATAAAGATAAATCCATTCTCAAAGAGCTTGTGTTATTCTGCGCTCTAATTCTCTTTTTTTTTCTCTCTCTTTTCCTCTTATCCATCCAATGCTTAATTCCACATGACATTTTTGGATTCAACATCCTAAAATGTGCGGTGAGTATTGAGTCATGCTGTCATCAAGAATAGTAGTACGCCACGGAAAAGGAAATAAGTTGGGAGAAACCTTGAACATGAAGTATTTCCAAGAATTTTTGCAACGACAAATTTAGGCACTCTAAAATTGAATTGTGTGACAAGGAGAGCACAAGCTCCCATGAACCAAACCCTTGACCCGACTCGCAATTACATAGATATTTTAGTTCTAAAATATGACCAAAAGCTTGACCCAATTTATAAAACGGTTAGTGTGCAAGCTTAAATACTATATGAAGTTAATAAAATGGTTTACACACTATGGGTACTACGCAAGTATACGTATCATTTCAAGTAGTATATAGCTCTAATAGAGTCATAAGTATCAATCCTGCAGGGATAGGGAAAACTCTAATAGGATGACTTTAGTAAAATCCACTTTAAAGTACAGTTAACTTATATAGGAAATGATAAAAAGTTTTTGTGTATTACCTAATCATACATAATTAAAAGGAATGCCAAGAAAATGCAGAGTGTAAATCTCAAGACAATCTAAAAAGGATAAAAATGTAAAGTTACCACTAAGCAATTTTAAATTTATAAAGTATAGAAGAGTTCAAAATTGTTTAGAACATCCTTTCTCTTTTAATGAGTTTATAATCAATGTAGGAATCTAATAATTTTAAATATATTTAATGTATTGTGCCAAATAGGAGCACACCTTTTCTTTACCCTCTCTCGAGTGCATAAAGAATGTTGGCTAGTCCACAGTTAAGTCCTTAAACCCGTGGTTAGACTGAGAAAATACTAGCTGTCACTCTAGAGTTCCCACTTACCCTGCACCTGAAGGTCAACAACTTGCTTTAGTTTCCAAAAATCTGGACCAAATTGAGAATTTTATTTTGTCACTCTAAAATCTCCAATCTTATGTCCATCAAAACTTATTTCTCGGTTTATTTGCACTTAACCCCATGTAGTACATTATAATCCATGAGACTTAATGTGATTCTTATTATGTTGAGAAAAAGAATAGCTCTTTTGGCTCATTATGTTTCATAACAGATTTTAACAAAAT